TTTTAGGAAGCTATGATCTAAACCAGTCTAGAGCAGTCCCATAGATCCCCACTGAGTCATGAATTTTCTTAGTTGAACCCAAACACAGGCGAGCAGGAACAGGAGGCACACTGGCAGGCAAAATAACTGTTTACTATGGCTAGTGGTATATACAGCATGGTGATTCAGCAGGACAAGACGATGATCTGACAGAGTAAATACATGTGGGTAATCAGAAATCAGGCGAGTAGGGTAACAAGTGGCAGGTGAGTTCAATAAGCACGCAACGAGGGGAGACGGGACAACATCTGATAGGGAGAAGATACAGATCCTGGCACAGTAACGTGTAATCTAATTAAATTTTTTTTTTCATTATCATAACTGTTTTTCCATTACTAATAAGAAAATGCGTGCGTTACTGTAATTCAGCAGTGAAGTGTGTTGAATCATATGGCGTGGTATGGGGGCCTAAATTAAGACTACTGCCCAACAGCAGGAGGCTATATAAATTCTGAAGCAAACTACCGACCTGATTAATGATAAGCTGGCACCGGTAACTGAGAGGCTGGCGCTGCTTACTGAGAAATAGCATCTTTACCGGCGTTATTATTAGATACGCTAGGGACTAGCAGCCCTTGGCTGGTCATTGACTGGTTCACACACTCCTTCTACTGTCTATTAGCATGGATAGGCTAGCGTTAGCCTGGACGGGTTGGTATTAGAATTGGAGAGGCTAGCCATTAGCGTGCCTAGGCTGGCCACTAGCTGACTACTGACTAGAGCCCTGCACGGGCCTAAAATCTGAGCCCGTGTCCGGCCCGGCCCGAGGGGGTGGAGCCCCAGCCCGACCCGGCCCGAAAAGGTTTTCAGGATTCTCTGGCCCGGCCCGAGCCCAAGCCCGACTTTTTTTAACAAACTAAATGAAAACAAAGTGCGTCAATCCTGACCAATGTGTTAAAAGATGTGCAGGATCCGAGCGTCGCAGAAGCGCATGCGGGAAGCTTCCCACTGAAGCGAGTGTTTTCCAAACCCGGTCTCTCAGAGAGACTTGTCACTTAGAAAATGTTCCCTGATTATGAAACTTTGGCTGAATAGTGCTTGTTCCTGTCTCCAATGTGCGACACATCCAGGAGCCGTCTGAGGAGAATCCCAGAATCTCACATCCTCTTCAGCTCATGAGCGCATATGATTACGCACAAGCGTGACCCAACACGGTCTCACAGTAAGACCGGGTTGGAACTGTTCAGGTTTACGCAGACAATCTTCACATAGAATTGACTTACAGATATAAAATTAATTCAGTAAAATATAAAGCATTTTATTTAAATACCCATTCATTATTTTACAAGCACATCGGCAGATGGATGGAAGAGCCGCGGGTTGCCGATCCCTGCTCTAGTTCAAGATATCATTAAAATTCCAAAAGTGCTGAAAAGATTAAAAATGGGGCTTTCCGTGCATATACAATACATTACAGTATCCACCGGGATTTCCTGTCTTGAGCGCAACGAATCACAACACAGATTCAGAGACGTGCGAGTTTGTCATCCAAAATGCTCCGTTTTATAACTTTTGAATGGTTGATCAGATTCAAATAATTCCAATGGTTCCTAAAAGTACATAAAAGCAGCTTTCCAACGGTCTATAGCATGAAGCAATCAGAGTTAGAGAAAATATCGCTACGAGGGGAAATCCTGCTGTACAGCCTGATTGAAACGGAGCGCAGCACTGCTGTGAAAGCGGATAACCTATAAAATGACATGTTGAGGACGCAAACTCAATACATCTCTTTTATTGTGAGGTAATAATTTCTCCGAGTTTTGCGGTTGCGGGCGGGAGTAGACATGCACGCTGCAGGTGTGGGCGGGAGTTGACATGCACGCTGCAGGTGCGGGCGGGAGTAGACACGCTGCAGGTGCGGGCGGGAGTAGACATGCACGCTGCAGGTGCGGGCGGGAGTAGACACGCTGCAGGTGCGGGCGGGAGTAGACATGCACGCTGCAGGTGCGGGCGGGAGTAGACACGCTGCAGGTGCGGGCGGGAGTAGACATGCACGCTGCAGGTGCGGGCGGGAGTAGACACGCTGCAGGTGCGGGCGGGAGTAGACACGCTGCAGGTGCGGGCGGGAGTAGACATGCACGCTGCAGGTGCGGGCGGGAGTGTAACACACACGTTGCGGTTGCAGGCTGTAATGGTCAGAAATTCAGCGGGAGCGGAGCGGGATGAAGAAAACAGTCCCGCACAGGGCTCTACTGCTGCGTTTAAGTGTTTTAATTTTTTTTAATGATTTCGAATAAAAATAAAGGCGCCCGGCCCGGCCCGTGTCCGAGGTAATTACACAGTCGTTGGCCCGAAGCCCGGCCCGAGGGCCGTCGGGCCGGGCCGACCCAAGGGCCTAGGGCTTCAGTGCAGGGCTCTACTACTGACTCTCTGAGACATGCTAATGGCTAGCTTCTCTGATGCTAATGCCAGCCTATCCATGCTTAAGGTCCTTCAAGGGAGTAGGAAATCCAGCTAGTGGCATGCCTAGGCACGCTAACGGCTAGCCTCTCCGATGCTAACGCCAGCCTATCCATGCTAATGGTCTGTCGAGAAGGTAGGAAATCCAGCTAGTGGCCAGCCTTGGCACGCTAATGGCTAGCCTCTCCAATGCTAACACCAGCCCGTCCAGGCTAACGCAAGCCTATCCATGCTAACAGACAGCAGAGGGAGTGTGTGAACCAGTCAATGACCAGCCGAGGGCTGCCAGTCCCTAGCGTAACACTGGTAAAGGTGCTATTTCTCAGTAAGCAGCGCCAGCCTCTCAGTTACCGGCGCCAGCTTATCATTAATCAGATCAGTAGTTTGCTTCAGAATTTATATAGCCTCCTGCTGCTGGGCAGTAGTCTTGATTTTGGCCCCCATACCGCACCATAGAATCATCTGCTCAGGAGCTGAAGGGGCAGATGTTTTCATCCAAGCGCATTATGGTCAGTGAGCAGCAAGGATGTCGTGATCCGTAGTTCTGGCTGCAGACCCGGAGACCCACAGATTCACAGCCGCACATTTACATTAATCATTAGTAATTCATCTTAGACTGAGAGACCATTTAAAGTCTCGGGAATTCTGTACAGGCATTTTCTAATAATTATGAATTTTAGTTGACTGAGGTCTTGTTTCATATCACACAGTGACATTTGAAAAGTTTAGGTTAGTGTAATGTTTCCTGTTTGAAGTTCCTCCTGTTAAGTGCCCATTTATTTCAATTATTCGGTTTTATAAAAGACACTTGGGCATACATTGTATTATGTTCCAGTCTATTTAGTCATTTATATTTTAATATTGTAGTAATTAGGGATGTGTAATGGTGAAATCCTGGTGATACGATACGATACATATCACGATACAGGGGAGAAAATACAATGTATCGCAATATATTTTGCGATACATTCAGTCAGACGTTATTAGCGATTATTTTTTTACTGGATTTAGTGTAGGAAAATTCAATAAACAGTCCAAACTGATACGTAACATGTTCAACATGAGGTATCTGAACCATAACAGAGATCTACATTTCAATCATGGAAACAGAACCCACTGTACACTGCTGCCAACTAGTGGTCGGTTTTGTTATTGCACCAAAGAAAATACTCAAATGTTTGCATGTAAATTCTTCCAAAAATTAGATACACGGTTTTTGAGTATCGAAACAATATCACAGGAAAAATATCACGATACATTGCCATATTGATCTTTTCTGGCAACCCTAGTAGTAATTTATAGTAAATGTAGTAAGATTGTGTTGTGAAGCACTTTACGGGGTTGTAGAAACCTATGAAGGTGCTCTACAAATACAGGCCATTTATCATTTAACATAGTAAGTTCTATTTAGAGGTGATCCCGTTTTTCTTGCATAGTTCTATGAAAAAGTAATGCAGTAGTTATTTTTCTGGGTAATTATTTAGTTTTATAATACTGTAATCAGGCACTAAGTAAGTTGCTCTTTTGATGAAGTCTTTAGTAATTATTACTAACAACTTTTTTCAAAGTAACTTTCCCAGCACTGCTGGTGATAGCTAGATCAGGATTCACACACACACAACTTTAAACAGTCATCTTTAGGTTTTGTTCATTTTAAGGAATTCGTTCAAAAAGAGCTTTCATTTAGGATGTACAGAAAAACAACTGATTAAAGCAGTCAAATAAATAAAACAACAACCACAGTAAAAACAGTCATAAACTTCACAGGAAGTCATTTTTCAAACGTTTATTAAAAACTAAACAGCCAATCAAATGGTTGATGTTTTACTGTCTGATGTATTCTGGTGTCGAGGAGTTCTGCTTCATCATTTCACAAACGTGATCTCTGTTTCCTCTCTCTGCAACACACACACACACACACACACACACACACACACACACACACACACACACACACACACACACACACACACACACACACACACGCACACGCTCACACACATATGTCAGTGAGCCAGTGTGGCAGGGAGCATATTGGGTGTTTACTATGCAAACATAGACAATCAGAATTTCTAAACAGTTCACTCTGGCTTGTCATTTATCTTACTCATGCTGTATTTCTGGGCTGCGCAGTGGCGCAGTGGTTAGAGCTGTTGCCTTGCAGCAACCTGGGTTCGCTTCCCAGCCTGGGATCTTTCTGCATGGAGTTGGCATGTTCTCCCTGTGCATGCGTGGGTTCTCTCCGGGCACTCCGGCTTCCTCCCACAGTCCAAAATCATGACTGTTAGGATGATTGGTCTGTCTACATTGTCCTTAGGTGTGAGTGTGTGCATGATTGTTTGTCCTGTGTGTCTCTGTGTTGCCCTGCGATGGACTGGCTCTCTGCCTGGTTGCCCGTTGACCGCTGGAGATGCCCCCCCCCAACATGCAACTCTACATGGACAAAGCAGGTTCAGACAATGGATGGATGGATGCTGTATTTCTGCCCCTATACACACGCACACACACGCACGCACACTTTCTATCTGCCTAATCAGTCCTTCCTTGTACTCTGCCTGCAGGGCGGTGTGTGTGACGTTGGTGTTTTGCTCTAAGGGTCAGAAGTATCTACGGGTGGGGCTCGCTGTCCCTTTGTTTGGGTCTGTATCCAGTCTGAGATCAATGGTAGCAGCGGAGGGTAACATCTCCCCTAATCAGGTAAATCTATGCATAAGTGCACACACACACACACACACACACACACACACACACACACACACACACACACACACACACACACACACACGTACATTTGTATTTATATGTCTGTGTGGACCTCCATTCATTTTAGTGACTCCACTGTGCCTAATCCATACCCTAACCCAAACCCTAACCCTAACCCTAATCCAAACCCTAACCCTAACCAATGGGGTTCTTTTCCTGTCCTTACCCTAAACTAAAAGCTAATTCACACCATACCTCTAAAACCAAGTTTTAGGGTGCTTCGCATTGTGCGGACCAGCAAAATGTCCCCACAGTCTAAAAATGTCCCCACAGTCTAAAAATGTCCCCACAGTCTAAAAATGTCCCCACAGTCTAAAAATGTCCCCACATTGCAGGTTATGTTTCTCAGGTTTCTCTACCTGTGTCGTACAACTGCTCGTCTCTGTGGGAATGATCTTAAAGGGATAAACTCAATTTTCCAACGTCTGGTTCAGGTTCAAGTTTATGAACAGGTAGTATTTTTGATTTTTCACATGGCTCTTAGACGGACCTCAGTTTGGAGAAATAAACAATAGTTCTGACTGGATTCATGCGATAACTGCTCATCTCAGCAGTGCTAATATAACTCCATTCTCAAAAGCATCAGTAGAATCTGGATTAAATGTTTTTTTTACTAAAATTTCATGGTGATGGGCAGTGCATGTAGTTGGCTGTGGAAGAATATCTGGATTTTTCTGCAGGGAAAAGGATGTCGTGTGTAATTTACCGCAGTACCGACATCTGTAAAATCATCTAGTGTAGAGTTCACCGACGAGAAGAAGACCATCCTAATCCAGATGATGAATGGTGCTGGATTCTCTGGATTTATTTAACAGGAGCAAACGCATCAGTCACGTCTGGAAGCTTTTTTAAACGGAATGAGGACACAGGTGAAGGACGGGTGGGAATCAGTCGATTTACAGCAGGCCATTAAGACCAGATGTTCTCTTCTATGGTGCTAAAATACAACTTTCTTCATTTCAGAAAACATGAGTTGACGTTTGGTTGACTTTTTTTTAACAAAGTCTAAAACCTGGTGTTAGAACGGTTCTAATAATAATAATAATAATAATACATTTTATTTAAAAGCGCCTTTCAGGACACCCAAGGTCACTTGACACAAAACACGTAATAAAATACAATAAAACAATAATAAAACCCAAAGAAGAAAAAACAAAGAGAGAAACAGTTCAATAAAATCAGAGGTTGTAGGCAGATTTAAACATGTGTGTTTTGAGTTTTGTTTTGAAAAGGGTAAAACTGTCGACGTTCCTGATGTCTGGGGGAAGTGAGTTCCAGAGTCGAGGAGCAGAGCGGCTGAAAGCTCTGCTCCCCATGGTAGCGAGACGGGCAGAAGGAACCGCAAGATGGATGGAAGAAGAAGATCTGAGTGAACGGGATGGGGTGTGAATACTTATAAGGTCTGAGATATATGGAGGAGAGAGGTTGTGGATGGCTTTGAAGGTATGGAGGAGAATTTTGAAGATGGACCTGAATTTAACTGGGAGCCAGTGAAGCTGCTGGAGAACCGGGGTGATGTGGTGAAAGGAAGGGGTTCTGGTGATAATACGGGCTGCTGAATTCTGGACCAGTTGCAGTTTATGAAGGAGTTTGTTGGGGAGACCATAAAGAAGTGAATTGCAATAGTCGATACGGGAGGTGACGAGGCTGTGGACGAGAATGGCGGCAGTGTGAGGGGTCAGTGAGGGACGGAGACGGTTTATGGAACGTAGATGGAAGTATGCTGACCGAATTATGTTATTAATGTAGTGAGTTCTCTCTGTGGTCCAGGTCATCCTATCTGAGCTGTACTCCACTGGCTTCCAGCGTTCATTCTGGGATGACGACGACTTGACTGCCATTGCCGACAGCGATGTCGTCTACGCCTTTCAGGCTCCTCCCCTCTCTGGTCGTGGGGGCTCCTTGTCTCACTCAG